AGACTTTTTGCTGTAAAAGTTAAAATTTTTCCTATTATTCTTTCCGTAAGGGTAAAATTTGAATAATAAATTAAACCTTGAAATTCTGACAATTTAACTAATTTTGTCAAACTGAACAATTTGTGGATTTTGAGTAACACGAACACTTACTGTTCTAACGAATCTAAAATTGTAAGGAGGGATTTTCGTTGACGAAGAAGGAAAATTAATGCAAACTTCATAAAAATTTCAGTTTTTTTTTTTTTAAATCTACAATTATTTCAATCTACTTTATTTCATTCTTATCCATACGACCCATTGTGGCATATGGGATTATGTCTTTGTTTTTAACAGACAAAAGGAAACGATTTCTTTTTGATGTTTTTTGAAAAATTATTTTTTAAATAGATTTATGCATGTCCGTCTGTCTGCCAATGTATTTTTTTTAATAAAGTACAGGCCGCAGATTTTTTCCAAATAACGTAGAATTTTTGCACAATTTCTACGTATGTCCCAAACACGAACTCCATTGAAATTGCCCAGGTTTGAATATTGCTTGATAATTTTTTTAATTTAAAACTGTTTAAATTTTTTTCTAAAACATATTTTAAAAATTGCCTTTTATATTGCAGATTTGTTTATACTACCTTAACAGTTTTTGAAATATGCGTAACATTTTAATTTTTCCAAACTGACTATCTTTAAGCCAATGTATGTTTTCTTAATTTAAAAACCCCTTGCATAGCGGCGTGATAATGATCTTGCAACGAATTGTGCCTCTCTACGAATATCTGCTCTGCAAATTTGCCTCTTTTTTTCATCGTACACACAAGTTTATGAAAATATTCCAATTTATTTAGTTTTGTTAATGTTCTTCCTCTAAATTCTTTTTTCTTTTCTTTGTTTTCAATTATGTCGATTGTTCACTCACATTTCTTATTGTTCATTTTTCTCCGCTCCACATACAGCGTGTGCATCTTTTCAAATTGCTGCGTTAGAGAGACTTTGAATGCAGTTGAAAACCCCATTTGGATTTGTTATTAATTTCTCAATTTTGATACGTCATTAAGAGTTCTGAGCATGTCTAGGTTTTTGATTTTTGTTTTGTAGTTGTTTTTTTTTTCTTCTTTGGATTAGGAAATAAGGAAAAGAATTCCTCTCAGATATACTCTACATACACATTTAAATGTTTACTAATGAAGAATGTGCTTGAATGAATTGTAAACAATTTTTTTGTTTTCGGTTTCGAATGCGAACAGGGGTGTTGTTGTTGCTGCTGCTGTTGTCAAGTTTGTTTGGTTGCTGCTGGCGGCTGGTGTGCTTGTCGAAATGTGAGGCAATGCTTTTGGAATTAATACTTTGGGAATGTCGGGATTTTTTGAAATATTTCAATTTTTCACAAAACGCAGAAAATACAGTTGAGGCAGTTTGTGGATGTTTCAATGATTTTGTTAAGGGTTAATTGTTGAAATCAAATGAAATGCATAAAGATTTTTTTCTGTTTTAAGGGATGACAAAATGAATACGAAAGTTTTTTTTTTAATTTGGAGGGGTAGTATATTGAGTATTTTAACAAAGAAGCTGTAGTGTGCAATGTTGTTTTACCTTTACCCTTCACTATTTGAAAATGTAAACATTTGAAGCAGAATAATGTGGTAAATATCGTTTCAGAACTTACAATACCAAATTTAAAAAATGCCCTTGAAATTTATGGCTAGAAGTAACGAAATATGGAATATTAGAACAGGAAAATGCGAACCGATGTAGAGAAATTTCTGTCATTGAAAGTGCCAAACTCCAAATACAAAATTAAAAACACTTCCCTTAAAAAATGTTGAATAAAAAATCAAAATACCAAATATCGAAAGGAAAAAACGTTCTTGGTCTATTGATAACGCAAGCTGCTGATTTACAGCGAATTTGGTAGAAAAAATGGTGTGACATTGTTATATAGGGTGAGATGAAAAAACTGCAACCCACTTCAGACTGCTGTCATTTCTAAGCCACTGGTCTGACAGCTGTTCAAATTCTTCCAGAGACTGCTCATTTTGGTAAGAATTTTCGAGAAAAAAGGTATTTGTGATGGAATTCAAGCGTGATAGTCTGATTTCTTTATATTTGGCTGGAAAACCACAAGGAACACTCCAGCATTTAAATGTGAATAAATCGTTTGTGTCTGTTACCAAAGCTCGTTAACCTGATACTGGTAGCGTGGCCCGAAGTCAAGGAAGTGGACAGAAGAAAACAGCAACATCAGCAGAAATGGTTCGAAAAGTAAAGAAGCCACTTGATCGAAGCCCGCGTCGCAGTGACCGAAAAATGGTTCGTGAGCAATATTCCATTCCGCAAATATCGAAAAATGAGCTCGGGGTAAAGCCATAAAAATTCCAAAAAATGCAAGAACTTACACCGCAACAGAAAGAAAATAGACTTTGAAGAGCTAAAGAGTTGCTTCGCTTGGCCGAAAGTGGTGAACTGCAGAATTTGGCTTTCTCCGATGAGAAAACAAACAAAATGATGGTGTTTACTTGCCAAAGAGGTCAGCTGAAAATGTGCACCTTCCGTTGACCACCAGAACTCAAGCGCTGGCTATGGTGATGGTTTGGTTCGCCATAACAGCTGATGGTCGCTCTCCGCTCGTATTAATCGACCGTGGCATCAGAATAAATGCCAACAAATGTGTCTGAAGTATTTTGGAAAGCAAGGTTGGCACTAAAAAATACTAGTGTCGATCACGCTTCGCTTCGCCGGGAATGGGCCAAAATACCGCGGAGCAATATTCGGGTAGCGTGTGACGGTTTCATTGGCCGTTCGAAGGCCATAATTCGAACAAATCTAAACTTATTCGAAAATTTGATGCCATTTCCGACGTTTTTTGCTTTCATTTAATAAAATTAAAAAAATATGTAAAAATTATAGCGTTTGACTTTGTTACAGTTTTTTTTTTTTTTATCTCACCCTGTATTGTAGGTTTTACCAAAACGTGGACCTATATGCAAAATATATCCATTCGGAGATAGAGTGATTTCCACTGACGTATAGACGTGTCATGTCCCATAGGAACGGATATTGTTAAAATTGTATGCTTTTGTATTGTCTAAACTCATTCCTTCGAACAGCTACAAAGGGAATGTCATTATTGGTACACCCTCCATGTTGGAGGGTATACAAGTTGTAAATAACGACATTTTATGCGCAAAATGTGCTATAAAACAACGATGTCCCAGATGTTTTCCCCTAGAGGACAAAATTCTATTACGAAACTGAAAAAAGGTATTAATTTCGGATTTGAACTCTCAGTTGTGGAGACATTTTCATTTAATTTTGAAAATCTGGACTTGGAAGAACAAAATTAAAATAATTCGACGGTCGGCAAATATTACCGCTATTACAACAACCAGGATCTTGTGGTTTTTGGTCCAATTAAATACCACTCTCCCCTTCATTGGAGACTTGGGAGTGTTTTCCGGGAAAGAACCAAGTTGAAGTGACACAACGCACCAAGACACTAGGTATTAAATATCAACTTCGTCGCTCATATTTCGAAGAAATCATTTGCTATCAAGTTCTCGATTTTCTCTACAGGTCCGACTTACCACTACCACAAAGGAATGATGGCTCTTTGTGTAAAATTATTGAAAATCCTCGCATGGGGAGCATAAACTAAGCCCGTGAACTAATGGTCATAAGGCTAATGAGGTAATTTAATCGCGACGCTAATTTCACCGCACACAAGTATTGGTCTCTAACTAAATTGGAACTCCCTGACATCAGGCGATTGTGTTAAGCGACTATGAGTTGCGTAGCAGTTTTGTAATTAGGCACCGCCCTTTTAGGAAACGATCCCAATAAACAAAATCATTTGAATCCACGATTCTACTTCACGTGGATCGGTACTTCACATGGACTTGTTACAATGAATGACAAATTTGCATGGAACTACTACAACATATATGTATATGCAAAAGCATAGTAAAAACTTTACTACATAGTCACCTTCGAAAACCTCTATATTTTCTCTAAACGTGCCACCAACATCCACAAAAGGCCATTTCATAATAAAGTTGAGGATTTGCCGTTAATAATAAAAAACAATGTCACCCACCAGCACGCATTCAGAGCCATATCCTTTCCAAAAAATTTCCATTATCCCTCAATAGCCACACGACTTCCATTATTGAAGCCTTAAATCGCCATTTGGGAAAATATTCCTCATTTGATATCGAAAAAATCGAGGGAATTTATTTTGAAATTGAAAATATCCATTGAGGCTCCCTCGAAATTCCAGTATTGATTTCGATCGAAACTTGTTTCGAAATCCAATGCGAGAATTTGGCTACTTATTTTTTCCCGTGTTTCCAAAGAAAGAAGTCGCAAGGTGTAAAATCAAGAAATCTCGATCGAAAAATAACACGTTTGGAAACTTTCCGCTAAAAGGGCAATCGTTTCGTTGATTTTGTGGCAATTGGTCCCCATCTGCAGCCCACCAAACAGTCGCACATTGGGGGGTAACTCAACAATTTTTCGAGCCCCAGATGCGACAATATTGCTTGTTGGTGTAGGTAGGAAATGGGTCCGATCAGTAAAGATAATTGTTCGGTAAAATTGCGATGCATTTAAGGGCCCAAACTGCAAATACATCACATTTTTAATGATCGACTGGTTTGAAATATCATTCAAAACGAATTTTTTAGTCTTAAAACCCATAGCGTATTGCAAAATATGGTGTTTTGTCACTAAATTTTCCCAATATGTCGAACTTTCCGACCAACCGTTGTATTTCTGTCCGACAAGGCTCTTTACGACTACCTCAAGATTTTCGTTTTTTTTTTTTTTTTTGTGTATATCTCTTTTCTAATTAAATATCAGGAGCGATGGTCTCTTGTTGGAAACCCGTTTATTAGCACCCATTGCATTGTGGATTTTTCTCATTGATCATTCTTCTAGAACTACATTCTTGATTCTTATTATATTTTCAATATATTTTAATATATTTTCAAATAAATTTTCAATAAACTTACCTTATAAACATCGCCATATGTGCCCGAACCAATTTTCTGGATGAGCTCGTATTCATCCTGGGGATTGCGGCGTGATATATCCGAACTTAGAAGATTTGCATTGTGATGACCCGCCATTTTTGGTGAGTTTTAAAGTTGATGATGGTGGGCTTGACAAAGCGACGACACAAATGGTACACGATACACTTTTAAGACAAATTTTTTCGACGTTGGAAATTCAGGGAGAAATAATTTCCAACAGATAAAAAATTGAAGTTTTAAATTGAATTTGTTATTTTTTTTATAAATATTTTTTTTTTTTTTGTATTTGCTTTAACAGTCACTCCAAACAAAGACACAGTGATGATGGAATTTTTGTTTTGTTTTAATTTTTTTCTATTTTGATTTTTTTAATTTATTTTTGTTTTGCTTTTTTGTTATGGCGTAATTGATAATTATGTATTTTTTATTATTAAGTGGCTAATTTTTATCATCGAAACACGAAACGTTTATTATATTCTTAAATTGCATAATTTTATGTTTTTGTTATCGTTTAAATGGGGAAAAAGCTTGGGGTTCCTAGAGAAAAGTGGAAGAAAATTGTTTATTTAAATTTATTATTATTATTTTCATTTTCTGCGTCTTTTTAGATGACAAATAATATGCGAAAATAAAAAAAAACATAAAGAACAAAGAACAACACAAACATCAGTTTCATTCACATTAGAACGCTAAAGAGTTGTTGTTGCACTGGCGACGTTGGGGACGGGGGGACAGACAACAACTATTTAGCGTCGTTTGCCGCTGCCAGCGCAAAAACGTGCACGTCAACGTTGACGCAGACGTTGTTGCGGTTGACAAACACTGTCGTCCGGTGTGTGTTCTGTTTGTCTGTCTCACTGAAAGACAAGTGGTTGCGGATTGTGTTTATTTTTGGTTAAACTCGTTGACGTTTTTTCTTTTGCATTGTATTTCTTTTTGCAATATTCACAATTAGCTGGTTGTTATTGTTGTTGTTTTTTTATTATTTCTTTTCTGGGCGTCAGCACAACAATAATCATCTCCAGTTAAGAGATCAAATACAACTCAAAGAACTCTGCAGCAGCAGCCTAGGAAAGCACTAAACTCCACACATTCACACACACACACAAAATGAATCAAAAGAAAACAAGATTTTTTTGCTCCAAAGAAGTGTAATCAAATATTTCCTTTAATATCTGCTTTGTTTTATTTCTTCTTCTTTCACCGTTTTTTGTTTTTCTTTCATTTTATCTTTTGTTTTTCCTTTTTTGCACCGAAACAGGCAAAACAAGTGGTCTGTTTGCCAATTGAACTCAGCTGCTGCTGCCCGTATTCCAATTTGACACTTCAGCAGAGACAAGAAGACAATGACAGTAGTAATAATTTTCTCCAAAAAAAAAAAACCGTACACACAATGAGAGTCACGAGAGCGAGAGAGCATGTTGTGAGAAAAAGAGAATGTGGCAAAAACAAAACACCTTCAACGTTGTAATTTCATCGAAATACATAGTTGTTGTGTTACATTTATTATTATTGTTGTTGTTATTGCATCTCTTTGTAAGAAGAGTGGCAAATTGCTGGAGGTTTTTTGTGTTGTTGTTGTTTTCACAGCCTTTGCCTTGACACATTGCAATTTCAATTTCACCACGGTTTCTCTTGCCACATATTGCACAAATCTGATATGTCTGCTTTAAATTGTTAAAACTTGTGGAGATTTTTACACCTCACTCAATGCCTTTGTTTTATTTCGTATTAAACAATAATTCTGGTTAATTATTTTTTGACACTTTAGTTATTAAATAATAAAAAAGGGGGTTAACAATGGGGCGTGCGTGTCTTGAGCCACCAGAACACAACCACATACACAAAGAAGCAGCAGCAATATATTTGCGGACGACACGCCAACACTCATCGAACAATTATTATTTTATTATTTTCTTCATTTCTGTGTTTTTTCTGTTAATACTTGCTGCTGGTTTTGTTGGGGACGACGAATTTCTTGGTATAATTTCTTTATTATGCCTCCACTTCTTGTTGGGCCTTAAATTTTCTTTCATTATTTGATAACTCGATAAATTATTCTTGCCAAGTACAATTTCACACCGACACAAACTTCACAACACTTTGCCCCCTCTCTTCCACACAACGAATGAGAAAAAAAAAATAATTAACAAAAAATAATAACTAATTTGTAAAGGAAGAGAAGCAGCAGCAACATAGCACACAATAAGAACAACAAACAGCAGCAGCAAACAAAAAAACAAGGGCGACGTCAAATTAAAAAATTATGAAAATTCAGCCAAACACACACCCAAACACAATAGGCAGCAAAAAAGAAACACACAACTACCACGATGACGACGACGACGGCTGAACTAACAACAACGACTACGACTTTGCCCCGTTTTAAATATTATATTTTTCTAATAAGGAAATTTCAATCCACGCACATTTTTTTACATTGTGGCTTCTTGTTAATCGATTTCGTTTTAATTTCTTTGTGGATTCTTGAATTTTGCTTTGACAAAATAAATGAATTTTATACTATTGCCGTACACACAACGTTTGTTGTATTCTCTTCAAGACAGAAAAATCACAAACGACGTCACGTCCGTGTATGTCGAATTTTTGACAGCGAATGAAAATCAGCTAGTATGGTTTGGCAGCATTTTCATTGTTCTGTCATTCTCTCTCGTTCTTGATTACAATGTATGGGCATCACTTATCGTTAGCGTTAATCGATTATCGATGTGTTTAGGGGATGTTCGCAGTTGTCAAATTAATTGATGGCAATTGATAGGATTATTGAGAAATTGGATAGTAATTCTTAATGAAAAATAAACCAAAAATTCCTAACTTTATTTTATTTATTAAATAAATGGAGATGCATACATACGTCATTCGTTCGCGTTGTCATTTGTCATACAATACCAGAAATATGATTGTCCCTTTAATTTGTCTAATTGATCATCAGCTGCTTGTCATCTTGGTAATCTCAATTACAAATTATTTTTTTGATGTCCATAAATTGTCAAATTGGAATTGTAGTTCTTCCTTAAATATGAAAGTACAACCAGCAAGAAATTTAGATTTATTGCCGAGCAAATATTTATTTTTATGCCATTTGAAGTGTACAAAAGTCATGTAAGAAAATAACCAAATAAAATATTGGGCTCATAAGTCATGCAAGGCTTGAAAACGGAATGATTGAATTTTGTTAGATAGGACAAGTATGGCGATCGACAATATCGAGCTGGTCTTCTATAAAACTGGTAGAAGATTGTCATTCCAAATTTTCAGGCGAATTGGCGTTGATTTCATTGCAGGATTTTTTTCAGCGTAAGATTTCGTTTTATACAGAATCCATATAGCAGGTATTGCGAAGATTTTGTCAACATTTTTCGGTCGGTTATTATAAAGGTTTTTTATACCCCCGACCACAGTATGGATGGTATATTAAGATTGTCATTCCGTTTGTAACACCTCGAAATATACATTTTAGACCCCACAAAGTGTACATATTCTTGATCAGCATTAAATTTAACGATTTCCGTCCGTCTGTCCGTGTGTGGAAATCACTCTAGTTTCCGAACGAATTGAAGTAGATTGATAAAATTCTACTCAAATGTATATTATACCTGCAGGACTTTTGGTATAGAAAATAAGCCATGTAGGTCCATGTTTTCGTATAGCCTTCATATGACGGTACCTCCCGATATTTGGTATTTTGATGATTTTAGCGACATTATGCACCGGAATTGTTTCAAATTTGGTATTTGAAGTTCGTAATGGCTACTTCAGCCTAAGGCAGATAATTTTCTGTGCAGGTCCTCGTCTTCGTATAGCCCCCCATATAACGGTACCTCCCGATATTCGGCATTTTGATGATTTAAGATTTAAACAGAATTTTTAACGGATTTCATTGTTTTTGAGAATTGCCAAATTCGTTCCAAATGGTGGAGGGTATTCAAAGTTCGGCTCGGCAGAACTTAAAGTTTTTTTTGTTTTTTTTTTTTTTTGGGACTGTATTAAAATGAATGAATGCCTTAATATTGCGAAGTGCCAGGTTTGGACCATATTGGTTACTTCCTTCACTTTGTATGAGATATGTGATATTGATAAAAGTATTGGTATGGCAAAATTACAAGAAAATCGAACATTTTACATATATATATATATATATATATATATATATATATATATATATATATATATATATATATATATATATATATATATATATATATATATATATATATATATAAATAATCTTCACAACAGATCTTGCGTTATTATTATTTCTCTACCATCTTTATAACAGATCTTGTGTTGATGGAAATATTGATATGTACCAAGTCTGGATGGAATCGGATGTTAATTTCGCGTGTTATGAGCTGAATTTTTACCCTTTGTGGGGAAAGTACCTGAAAGACTCGACCCATATATCCCATTTCCACAACAAATCTTGTGTTAGTAGAAATAATGGGATGTGTGAAATATGAACATAACCGGATGCTTATTTCGGCTTTTATGATCGTTTGGTTATTCAAAACTTGGACTATTTGTGTGTGAGCTACCAGAAGGAATGGTCCGATCTCAATCGTGGGTTAATAAAAATATTGTGATATATGTAATGTGATCACATTTTATAAGAGTTATTTTTTGACCCTGTGTAGGGGAGGTACTTGATGGAGTGGACCTATATTGTCCATTTTCTCACCACACCTAGAAATGATGCTGATATTAAAATTTGCAAAGTTAAAACAAAATCGGCTTATCCTTTCTCTTTCAGTGCAGTAACATATTTTTTTTGAAAATTTCGACATTTTGTGGGGAGGTACCAGAAGGAGTGGACCGATATTGGCCATGTCCAAAGTCATTCTAAGTTTGACAATAATTATACCCTACACCACAAGGTGGTCAGGGTATTATATCTTTGTGCATTTGTTTGTAACAGGCAAAAGGAAACGAGATAGACCCATAGTTCCTTTTGATGATCTGCATAGAATCACATTCCGAGTCGATTTATGCATGCCCGTCCGTCCGTCTGTCCATGTATTTTTGTAAACAAAATACAGTTCTCATTTATTGCCCTATCCAGATGAAATTTTGCACAAATCATTTGTTTGGCCCAAGGACGAACCCTATTGAAATTGGAGATAATCGGTAAAAATTTAGATATAGATCCCATATATATCTTCGTCCGATTTGCCTTTTATTGTGCACCAAACGTGTAATATAAGCCCGAATAGTATAGAATTTTGCACATACAACCAAATTAGGCCTGAAAATAAGTTTGCCAAATTTGATCGAAATCGGTTCAGATTAGCTATAGCTCCCATATATATTGTTCATCCGATATGTTATTTTTGTCCTCCGCAGCCGTAATATGCACTCTGTAACAACAATATTTGGGGAAATTGATCAAATACAGCTCAGAAATACACTTGCTAAAGTTTATCGAGATCGGTTCAGATTTGGATATATCTCCCATATATAACTTCGTCCGATTTACCTTTTATTGTGCACCAAACGTCTAATATTTGCCCAAATGGGATGAAATTTGGCACTTACGACCGAATTGAGTCTCGAAGCTAGTATGTCAAATTTGGTGAAGATCGGTTCAGATATAGCTATAGCTCCCATATATACTGTTCATCCGATTTGTTATATTTGTTACCCACAGCCGAAATGTTGTTACGGGGTACAACGATATTCAGGGAAATATATCAAATGCAGCTCAGACATATCTGTGCCAAATTTTATCGAGATCGGTTCCGATTTGGATTTAGCTCCCATATATATCTTTATCCGATTTCAAATTAATTGTGCACCAAACGGGCAATATAAGTCCGAATTTAAAAGATACAAATGCTTCGGCATATTTAGTCCTTTGAACTTTAAATTATAATTATAATTATAGCGTGTATGATGGAATTCTCCCATAAAAACTTTTAATTGTTATGCGGAGCTTTACTTAATTAGCAAAGTGGTGTAGGGTATCATAAAGTCGGCCCCGACTTTAAGACTTTCTTTACTTCAAATGTCCTTAAAAGGATTTGGTTGAAGATAACTAGGGTCTTGGTTCAAAGATAACAGTGCCGCAGTAGCCATATGGCTGAGGGTATACAAATAATCATCACTTCGCACAAAATTTTTGCAGTTGTCGATATATGGTGTTCACAAGTGCTGATACATCTACCTCTGTGTATGCTCTTTACTATTTTTTACAACTTTTACAAAACAACTGAAGTCCCTCGATTGCCAACTGAAACACCACATTTTTTTCACGTGCCAAAAGAACTCATTAATAACGCCACGGTGTAGTAACGTCATTGGCGTGTGGTTTGGGGATGTACTAAATTGATATTGTTGTGTGTAATAACGACAGTATATTCCACGGTGTCTACAGAGCCCTCTAGTTGCACGTAGTATAGTAAGTATGATACAATTGAATTGCAAGATGGCGCTGACTACCATACCAAATACACAACGGTGGGATGTCAACAACACAAATTTGTGTGAGAAATTACATTTGTCTTATGGATATTTTTGGCCGTTATTACATAATTTGTTTTCTTTTTGTCGGTTGGATTCATACGTTACCAATTATTATTTTAGTGGTAATGTGATTAAAAATATGTTGACTCCGCAATTTTGAAAAAAAAATGGAGACGAATCGAAGCATCTATCGAATTTCGAAACTATGTTTTAAACATTACACAGTTGGCGATCCTTTGTTATATCCTCCACCATACTATGGAGGATATATTAGCTTTGCCATTCCGTTTGTAACTCCTCGTAATATTCATAATAGACCCTACAAAGTATATATATTCTGGATCAGCGTAAAATTCTAAGACGATCTAGCGATGTCTGTCTGTCTGTGTGTCCATGTGTTTGTCTGTCTCTTGTAATAACTCTATTTTTCGAACGAATTGAGATAGAAGGCTAAAATTTTGCATACATACATAGTTTACCAGTAGGCAGGTTAAGTTCGTAAATGGGCTATGTCGTGTAGCCCACACATAATGGTACCTCCCCATATTCGTCATTTTCACAATTTTTATATTTAAAGTTCGTAATGGGCCTATGCCAAAAATTTTTGTACGCAGGTCCATGATTTTAACGACACCGGAATTGTTTCAAATTTTATATTTAAAGTTCGTAATGGGTACTACAGCCTATGCAAAAATTTTTGTACGCAGGTCCACGTCTTCATATAGCCCCTATATAACGGTACCTCCCGATAATCGGGGCTGTCATGATTTTAACGACATTTTTCTCCGGAATTGTTTCAAATTTGATATTTGAAGTTCACAATAGATACTACAGCCTAAGATAGAAAATTGTCTGTGCAGGTTTACGTCTTCTTATAGCCCTCATATAGCGGTACCTCCCAATATTCGGTATTTTGATGATTTTAGCGACATTATTCACCGGAATTGTTTCACATTTGGTATTTGAAGTTTGTAGTGGATACTACAGCCTATGACAGAAAATTGTCTGTGCATGTCCACGTCTTCGTATATCCCCAAAATAATGGTACCTCCATATATTCGACATTTTAATGTTTTTAGCGACATTATTCACCGGAAATGTTTCAAATTTGGAATTTGGAATTCGTAATGGG